CGAACTATCATCTGCGATTCTTTGCTGAAACGAAATGAAATCGAACCACTTCTGTAGCGAATGGTAACAGGAGACGAAAAGTGGATCAAATACGACAATAATGGGCGAAAAAAATCAAGGTCCAAGCGTGGTGAACGATTGATTCTACATTTAACTGTTAACAACTGCTGAGATTGAAGCAAGCAATCAAAACAAACGGTCAGAACTGATCAACAGAAAGGACTTAGTCTTCCATCAGGACAACGCCAGACCACACACATCTTTGATAACTCGGCAAAAACTGGGAGAGCTTGGCTGGGAAGTTTTGTTGCATCCAATATATAGCGCTGAACTTGCACCATCGGACTACCATTTGTTTCGGTCATTGCAGAGCTCCCTTATTGGAGTAAAGTTGGCTTCAAGAGAAGCCTGTGAAAATTACTTGTCGCAGTTTTTCGTCGAGAAACCAGAAAAGTTTTACACTGGTGGAATAATGCCTCTAGCGGAAAAATGGCAAAAAGTGAACAACAAACTGGTACATATTTGGTTCATTAAAGTTCATTATAAGTACAAAAAAAAAAAATAAGTTGAAGACTGATTAGAAATACGAAAAAACTTTTTTTTTTAATTCAAAGTTCTCTACTGGGCTCTTCAACTGCATTCCTTAATATACTTTAAATGAACAATACGAACTCTTATATAAATGTATCGTACATAAGTTTTTATGTATTCATATCTCAAATTCTAATATCAAATATTTTCATTAAGTGAAAAACCCCAAGCGCTCCTCTTATTTAATAAAAAAAAGAGTAAATGTTTAGCAGTTGTTGCATGCCGTTCCCTCTCATATACATATTTACTAAATTGTAAATTACAACAAAAACAATATACATACTTCTACATATGTACATATGTAAATGAATCTAAACAACGCATATCTTTTCCACACTCTTTCATGCACTCACGCCGTGTCTACAGCCGACTGATGCAACCAAGCCTTCCGCAAGCTATTAAAAGTTCTGTTGAGTAATTTGTTTGGAATAAATTTTTCAAGTGTGACGTAATTTTTTTCAAAATATATGTATACTTGCTCTCACTAACGCCCTTTAGCATCGTGTTCTTAATGTCTCTCCAAGGTCTACAATGGAGACTTATGCTGTGTTACATATTATTACAAACTGCTTAAAGGTCGTTTTCTCAATGTCTGGTTAGTAGCGATCTATCGGTTGAGTTCTGAATAAAAAGAAAAGTTCTTTGCCGAAAGAAAAAGTCGTGGTTAAGTTAACCAGAACTTACCCGACAGCTTTCTGCTAAAGAAAGGATTGAGAACGGGTCTTGATTAACTAACCAGATATAGCAACCATCTGGTTAGTAGCTATCTAAGTTCTGACTAAAAACAATTCTTAACCGAAAGAAGTAGTGTTGGTTAACTAAGCAGAGCTCAACTGACAAATGACTGCTAACCAGACATCGGGAAAACGGTGCTAAACAGCGAAAATTTATAAACAAAAAAAAAAGCTCCGAGAAGCCAAATAAAACCGATAAGTAATTTTTGGATATTTATTTAGAGAAGACCTAACTGTGGCAACACCTTCAAGTTCAATGAAAAAATCACAACTAATATTCACTAATAATATCCAAAATGTAAAATGTGAAGCAATTCCCTTATCGCTTAAAAGTTAAGTACTACAGTACGCTCTCCACCATTAAAGCAAAATCCACCATATTTTCAGTTTTAAGTTTACTTTTATTTTTTCTACTTTTCTTTTGTTTTACAATTTTTTTTGTGTTTTTCTCCAGTTTTATACAAAAAATGAACACAAAATATATCACAGCTACTTATCACAATTTATCAAGAATCCAAAGGTGCAGAGCCAAGCAAAAATTAGCCGAGTAATATGCCATCGTATATATTACATGCAGCAATTTTTAGTTTTTTTCCTTGCTTTTAGATTCACGATAAACACGCGTAAAATATCACAGTCAGCCAGTTGCTTACAAACTAGCATTTGAAAATCGCCTGAACAGCAATTAAAGCAGTTGCATGCTATTTGTGTATTTGAGTGGTCAAAGGTTGCAAGCAAACACTTGATTAAAATATCACTGTTATGCTCGTGTGTTACTGCCCGCGGAGTGAAGTGAAGCCRGGTGTGTCAGTTATTACGGGCGACCTGCGAAGAAGAAATTGTGCAAATAATTATATATAAGCTGAGTTATGCTATATTCATAGCGCGTACGTTAATATAATGCTAATGTGCGAAGAGGAATATTATAATTGATATTTTTTTATATTTATTTGCTAACTGAATAGCTGCTAATAGATTTTTATTATTTTTATATATTTAAGGCGTTTGAGTTTATGTATATTTTCAGTATTTATTTTATGAATGTAAATATATTATATTATATTTCTTTAGCACCTTTTAAGTCCAAAATGAACTATATGCGATGTAGTTTTGTGCTGCAATAAAATTTAGCCTAAAATATTACAATTTACTTGAAATTTGTTGCCAGCGAACAAATTTGTTAGCAAAAAAACCAAAAATAATATTATCACAATTTTTAAAAATTATCAAAATACTCTAAATATCACAAAATATTGTTTTCGTTATTTACAAGATTTAAAATTTACCAACATTTTCTGAAAACCAAAAAAAAAACAGTTTTCACAAATACCAAGGTACAAATTAAAAAATATTTTTTTAATGGAAAAAATTTCAAGATTTTCTAAAATTCACTTTTTTGCGTTTTTTACACTTTTTAAAATATTCCAAAACTTTTTAAAAGCCAAATTTTCCGGAAATCACGAAATAAAATTTATGTTTTATTGTATTTATATTTTTTAAAACTCGCCAAAAAAAATTCAAATTTATCAAGCTCAAAAAAATTTTTTTACTATTTACAATTATTTAACAACGTATTACTTTTTTAAAAATCACAAACCATTTTATATATTTTTTGTCATTGTTTTGAAACTCACAAAATCTTTTAAAAAATACCAGGACCTAAAAATTACAAAAAAAATCCTACTTACAATTTTTCGAAGATTCCAAAATTTTCTAAATTCCAAAAATATTTGTTTCTTAAATTTAAAAACTTTCAAAAGTTGCAAAACTTTCTAAAATTCAAAAAATATTTATGTTTCTAAAATTTAAAAATTTAAAAAATTTGCGAAATTTTCTAAAAATCACAGAAACTTTATCAAAATTACCAATTTTTTTTTTTTTCAAAAATTCCAAAACAAATTTTGCTAATTACAATCAAAAAAAAAATTAAATTTCAAGTTTGATATTTTTTCAAATTTATTACAAAAGTATAAGTTCGTATGTTACAAGCTGTAAGCAATCGGTCATTAATTTATTTACTTTGCATGATTTTATTTTTATGGCAGATTTTTTTACTTTTTCGAGTTCTCCATTTTATGCATTAATATTGAATATTTT